GTTTTCGGAAGTGGAAAACTGTTTAAAAAATGTAGGAGCGTATTTAAGAAAATTCATTAAAAAAATTGGAAAATTAACGAAACAAAAATCAAATCTTTGATTTACGATTTCTATAAGTGCCATAAGAAGTATTTTTTTCGAAACTATATATATATCTGATATGTCTGCCTGTTTTTTTTTTTTATCGAATTCTAATCATAATTTCTTGTGAGTTGAATATTTTGTTTCAAATTTAAACTTCTGATTTCTTTTTTTATATTTTCTGTTCCAGATGTAGAAATATTATTAGTTAACTACATTCAACAAATGTCAAAAAAGGAAATATTTATTAAAAATAAATATACTTATTTTGTATTTACTTACTTCTTCGTAATAATATCTTTTTAACTTCGCGAATATTTAAACTTTCCTAGGGTATTTAAAGTTCCAGCAACTGCACTGCAGCTGAAAACATTTTCTACTTTTTATGCATTGCCATTGAAAATGATGTACTTGCAAAAATTGTTTGTGTTGGTTATTGCTTCACCTTTTTTTTTTAGGTTTTCGTCAGATCGTGGGAAGGGGATATATAAGGAACAGGAGACAGGGGCAGCATCGTTAGCTAATTTGCATTTTGTTGTTGTCATTTAATATGCTTATGAAACGAATTTGTTGTAACTTTGGCACTTGCGGCCTGCGATTGCCATTGCTTTTTACGATGCGAATGCCAATGCCAATGCCATTGGCAATGTCAATGGCAACCAATATATCCTAATGACACTTTATTGTCAGTCCAAATATTCGTCACACTGAAAAACTGAAAAATAAAAAGAAAACACAGGAAAGAATGCACAGTAGAAGCTGTAGACCTTCGATTTGGTAGTCACCCCTAATTGCGATGAAACCCCGAAACAAAAAATAATAATAAAAGTTGGCTTGCAAAAATTTGCTTTGGTTAGCTGTGACTAATTTACCTAAAGAGCGAACTGAGTTAACTGTTTAAGGACAAAAAGGAGTACGCTGCTTTAAGCCAAGTCTTTGGCTGGCCAAGATGCTCCTTGTGCCTTGTCCTGTGACATTTCGACAGTTTTTGGCCGACCAACAATGCATGTCTGTGCATTTCTGACCCTGTCAATAATTTTTGGGCCCAACTCCATTTAGTGCATATGCAATATGTAATGCATGGAATACAGTCAGAAAAAAGCGACAACATTTTCAAAATCGGAATAAAATTAAAATCGAAAACAAGAAACATTCTTTGTTTTTTTTTTTAATAATTTAGTAATTTACGAAAAACAATTTCTCAAAATAAGAAAGCCTTTCAAGTTTTCTCTTTGAATGGATATTTTAAATTTAAATTATTTGCATGTTTAACAATAATTTAAGTAACAAGAGAGCAAATATAATAATTCTGTATCCACATATCAAAATGAAACCCTGGAAATTAGTAATATTTTTTCTAAAATCTACAAATACAAAAACCTACCATGACATGAAGAAAAGAAAAGCCGGATTTATTAGAAAGGTACAACTTTGTCATTTTGATATATACTTTCTGAATAATAAAGTGGGCTGCCTTTCGCGAGAGAAGTATGCCAATTATTTAAATAAATAAAAATATATTGCGGATGAGTAACAAGTTTTCATATAGTTCTTTTTAAGTTTAGTTGCTCTCCAAACTAATCTCAAAATCATCCATTTTCAATGATGAGTATGATCGTAGCTCTTCCCAGTTCATATATTAATAAATATATATTATATTAATTATTTCATAGATGAGCTGCTGGGAGTTCCCTTAGTTATTCTGTTGCAAGTTGAGCTGGCAATTTTATAAAATCAACTTACATTTTTACTCTGAGTGTAGGGATTACAAAAGTGCGTCCAAGTCCAAAAGTATTGTCAGTCCTGTCAGATGCAGTAGCAGCACTGGAAAGAGAGGTCTCATGTGCCTGTGGCGGCATTGTTTCGAGTCTGCTTGCCGCACTGCCCTGCCCCTTGCCTCCCCTTGTCTTTAACCCGAGCGAGTTGCATGTGCATTTGGCTGACATTGAGTGCTCCGACAGGCGACGTGTGCGAAAGGACAAAGTCGTCCTTTCGTCCTGTCGTCCATGCAACTCTGGTTGCGTCTTTATGGCTGAAAGCTTTTCTAGCTACTGCTGCCACTGCTGTTACTGCCGTGCCACTAAACATGTCTACTCTGACTCTGGCTGTCTCTCTGTCCTTTTGGCGCGACTCCAAAATATAACTTAAGTTTCTGGTCAAATGAATTTGGCAAAGGTATCCAAAGAGCCAAAGCATACATTTGGGAATCGGAATTTATGCAAAACGTTGACAGCGGAAATGTTGCGTTTTTTCTTTTTTCTTTTGTTGTTTGTTTTTTTTTTTTGTAATTTTTTTGAGACCACATTTTGGCACATTAAGTGGCTTTTCTCGGGGATCACAAACTTTGACTTGTTTTTGCTTTGTCACCTGTTTTTTTGTTTTATTTTTATTTTTGCCGTGCAAAGTTTTTTTTACGATCTTGTCAACATTTTGACTTGAGTGCATTTTTACGCACATGCCAGTCCAGCACTGGCCTACCCCTCCACCGCTGCCCTGCTGGGCCGTAAAATCGAAAAGTAATGCAATAAAATTCGCTTTCATTAAAAGCATTAAAATAGGTTTTTGACATGCCATAAAAATTGTTTTCACGTAAACGCAAAACAGAAAAACTGCTGCTGCCACACTTTACTTATGGCAAGTGGGTGGACTGGGGGTGGGAGTGGGTATTGTGGCACAGTCTTATTCAGAGTCTGGGGAGCTGCCATTGGCTGTTAGCATTCGCGTCTAAATGGGAATTTTATTGTTCTGGGATCTGTGGCAGCCGCATTGCCATTAGCTCAAACACGGCGAAAGACGCTCACCTAACCGCCATAAACTGTGTGTGTCTGTGTGGAATGCGATTTTCTTTCCTTAGGGAAAGCCATTCAGTTTTGGCAGCTATATTATCTATTTCATCATAAAGGCATGTGTGCCAGCTCAAAATAACTAAGGGAATTCTCGGCACTCTCAGCTGTGTGAAACAAGTCTGTTTTGATATATGACAGGAATAATGAACTGTGCAAAAGCTACGATCATACCTTGCCATAATCATGATTTGACGAAAAGAAATCATTTTTAGTTTAGCTTGGAGTGCAATAAAACTGAAATAGAATTTGATGAATAAAAATTGCTGCTTATCTGCCAAAAATTCGTACACTCAGAAAAGAATCAGAATGAAATGTAGAAAATTGCCAAAGTTTGTGACGACAAAAACCCACCTTTTTGTATACAAAGTATAATTATAATTTTTTCTTTTGTTAAATGGTAGATTTTAGAAAAATCTTGAAAATATGTCTAATTTCCAAGATGTTACAGAATTCGTAGCATTATGATTTTTGGATACCTTTAATATTATAAAACATTTGCGTTTTAAGATTTCAACATTTAGTATAGCTTACAAGTTTATATAATTTAAGAAAGTATATTTTATGCTTTTTAGAAATTTATTTCAGAATAATAGAAGAGAAAAAACCCTTCCAAATCGTTGTCCAGTTTTCAAGGCGATTTTCTTAGTCTGAAGTAGAATTTGATGATTATAGTATTAATTTTGAGATAGCTTTAAGCATTTTGTAAATGAGTTATGAATTTGGCCAAAGGCGAGCTGTAAATATGCCCATAAAGTACACAAAATGATGTGAAAACACAAAAATACGCATTTGTTGTCTGACAAGCAATTAAAAACAGATTTTATAGGTAGTCCTGGTCAGAATATTTCTTTGCTTGGCTAATATTACGCCGGACAATTGGCAAATAAACGGAAATGGCCGCCAAATTGGCAATTGACGGAGCAAAATGATGCAAAATCGAACGTGCATTATATTTTCAGCGTTATTAACTTGAAATTACCAGAGGGTGATAGGGAGAGGGGAGAGGGGAAGAGAATTGCTGAACAAGCCGCAGAACGACATGTTATGAGGGGGGAGGGAGAGAGGCAAGCAAGGACAATCAATGAATGTGAAGAGGACAATGCGGAATCGGTCGTCACATCTTAATTGCTGCGACAGCTTGTGGCCAAAAATGCTGGCTTCTATGGGTATCTTATATGTTGTTATACCCTGTAAAAATGGCCAAAAAGGGTAGTGTAATGTTGTGCAATAAACAGACAGAAATATTTGAAGTAATTCGATAAGTATCGACTGACAATCATTCTGATATTTCATACTGTTATTTCAGACTACAATAAAAACTGATTTTAACCTTGTTTACAAGGTATAACGCAGTCTAGGTGCTCTCGCTGGTGCATCACTCTTACTTCTTGTTCGGATTACGTTGAGTTATTTTCATGATGTAATAAATGAAATTAATTTTAATAATTGCAGCGATTTTCATTGGCGAATCGGCTCATTCGTTCGCATTGACTCGTAAACAGCACAAAAATATTGCAAACATTTTTATTTAGGCCACTTATTTTATTTGGCAACAACACACTGATTGCTCCGACTCTATGAACATTATATATATTTATATTTATATATGTTTAATGATGACCATGAAAACTGCTTAATCGGAAGAATGAATATGAATATGAGTAGGAATATATGAAAGCACAGACCAGACTGGGTTTCACATAATAAGCACAAAAACATAAATACGCTGGTGAAATGTGAAAAAAGTCTAACAAAATATCTCTGTGCAAATCCAAATGTTCCTTTCGTATTTATTTTTTTTCCTCGATTTTCTCATTTTTTTTGCACAAACAGCAGCATTTTTAATATGGCTGTCATTTTGGTAGCTTTCGCCCTGTCCCCGAAAAGTTAGCGAGATTTTTATTGGTAATAGCAACGACTATTTTTCGCATTTATAATATAGGGCCATATATTTTCATGAACACTAAATTATGAGAGTCGGCCAGCAGCTGAGTAGGCGCCTCCAACTGAAATTGATAAAAACAATTGCAAACATCTTTCGACATAAATAAATACACACATATTATTTATATGTACTTTCCTTTTCTCGTTAAAGTTTGCTAAATTTCGAAATAAACGTGCTTTTTCTGTGCTCACCATGGAATTTCTATGCAAATTGTTGTGTTTCGATGACTATAAGAAACTCGCAGAGGCATCCAGTTCCCAGCCAATGGATACATTTAGCTATACCATCAGGCACAAATATCCCAAGCGATTGGTCACCTACGACGCCGAAGAGTTGGGTGAACGAAGACTAATACGCAGCTCAGATCTCAGCCAGAGTCTGTTGAGTGCCATGCAACCGGTTTGCCCGAAGAAGGACCAGGTTAAGGATGTGATAAGCAAATGCTGGCAACCCATTTATCCGCTCGATGAGTTGACCAAGGGGCGTTTGGCACAGTTGGAGAAATGTGGCAAGGCGCTGCACAAGTCGACAGTGGAAGAGCTTGGCCCGGAGCACACAGAGAGCAGCAATTGGGATGGCCTCAAACCGATGCAGAAACTCAGTTTCTTTTGGCAGGCGTTGACGGGTCACAAATTGCGTTCGACGCCCTATGCGAATTTCAAGCAGATCATCAGAAGGCGATATCTGAAGAGTCGTCCACAGGTCTGTGAGCGTCGACTGCGTGTTTTGGCTCGTCGCTACTGGCTTTGTTTGAGCAGCAAGGATCGAGTGCCATTTAATTTGCAGGCATTGCTCTATCATGTCAGCACAGGGGATGTGGATCCCTTCGATCATTGTGCTGTGCGTGTGCTCTTGAATCGCTGGCGCTGATGACCCTCAGCTTTCGCTGGCCATTTGGCATTAAAGTGTTGTCTGTGGAAAATGTTCAGATTTTTTCTTTCTTTGTGTGTCTTTTAATTTTCCAGTTGCCCAAGACATATTCTCTTTTATATGAAACAGATGCTGCTGGACTGGGTATGCTTTAAACGGGTATATGTGTTCTATTTTTGTGCAGACTTTCGGCAAAATTCACATTTTTACTTTCAGCTGTCTGTCGTGATGGCTGCAGTCCCTTCTTTGAATGCTCCTCTCCTCTCTCCTCACTCCCCTTTTGATATTTGCACTTGAAACAAAATTGGGGAAACTGGGGAAATGTTACAAATCGAGGCGCCAAAATAATAATGGATCTCAACTCATTTTGCGCACTTTTCAAGGTCAGCATTGAAATGGCATTGAGCATTATACACTCGGAGAAAATCAGTAACTAATTTTGCCACCTCTAAATATATAGACCTGACAATTATCTAAAATCAAATAATATTCCACAAATTTCCTAAAAATAAGAATTGTAAATAAGTTACATCAAATTAAAGATGAATAATTAACTTAAACTTAAAAGACACATTTGTAAAAAAAAATTAACAACAATCGAACGAAATATGAAATGATATGAAAATAAACAAAAACTTAAAATGTAAACACAAATAAAAAATTAAGTTCCCACTTTAAGTGCTCAAAACATTTATTGGTTTAAGGTAAGCTTGTGGTAAGATTGTTTTCACTTTTAAACAGTTCTTGATCAGTTGAAGTAAGACTTAAAGTTGCTATGGAAAAAGCTCATATTCCTAGAACTAACCTCGCATCAATTTAAAATAAAATTAAATACGCTCTGTTGAATTATTCATTGTAATATTATTTTACATATAAATGTATTGTCGTTGCAATAAATAAATTAATGAAAACCAGCTCAAATCATAAAAGAAAACTTCTAAAATAAAAAAAGTGTTTATGGTTATAATTTTGTGCTTGGTATTTCGCTAAGTGTAATATTCGTATATTGAAATATATACACATATATTACACATACGTTGTAGATTAATATGTATTTATTAACAAATAGATCAACACTTGGCGAGATCTTTATTGACATGACATTGGGGCCTGAAGGACAACTCAATTAATTATGTTCGATACATTTCTGGGGGAAAAACTTTAGCTGAAGATCAACATGGGGCAATATGCGTTTCACAAATCCCGTCGGGGGCAATTTTGGTGGTCAATTTTGATGGTTCTCACTTCGCGGTTCAACCTTCGACTATTCAATTTGGCCATGCGCATAAATTAGCAATAAAAAGAACTGTGCACAGAAACAAGAACTATTTAAAATGTAATTTCGTGCCGCTTTTACGAGGGCAATGTTTAGCTTTGCCTTGGACAAAATAAGAAAGCAAAAAAAAAAAACAAAAAATACAAATACAAATAAAAACAATAAATAAAATTGTAGCAAATCGAAGTTGGGCCTGAAAACCAGATCAGTCCTCGCAACATTATGCTAATAGAAATTATGGGCAAGAGGGGTAGACACGGCTTGTCTGCGGCTGGTGTTGAGTTTTATTGAAAAGGCCAGGGGATTGTGTGTGGAAATGGTGATGGAGGTGGGAGTGGTGCTGGAGGTGGTTGGACTTTCTACGTTTATGGCCAGCGAATTGTCAATTGACAACTTTTGGCGAGTCGCACATAAAACGAAATCAAATGGAAAACTAAAAAATATAATAAAAATGTTAGTTTAAGTTTGCCGAATATTATATACTCTTTCGAAATAAAGTCCATTTGATTGCAAAAATGGAATAATTCTATCTATTGTCTTTATAGGTCTAATATGATATATATAAAGCTGTCCGATTTTGATTATTTTCTCTTTAAAATGGTGGAGGAGTTTTAATGCTGATAATTAATGATTGGTTGGATTATTTTGGTAAGCAAATATTTGGTTTATGTATGTGTAAAATTGTTGCTACGACAGCTATATATAATGTGCATATAACATACAAAATACAGTAGTCCGATATATATTTACATATATATCCGTGGTACAAAATAGTGATCCGATCGATGCAGGAGGAATTATAAAACTTATAGCTAATAATTGGTTGAATTATTTTAGTATTTATTATTTCAGATATATTCAAATATAATCATTAACTTATTGAAGTTCTAAAAATAAAATAAATTATTTGTATTTAATTTGTATTTTCATATTTAGAAAGGTTGATGCATATAGGTATAAAGTTTGATCGACTCAAATATGGCTGCCAATCCAGAATATATATGCTTATTCACAGACTCTTTTTTCTATGCGTTACATAATTCTTTACAATATTATCATACTCCCAGCAAGGGCATCCAAATCAAAATCGAAATAGAAATAGAAATAGAAATCAGCAATGACTTTGATTCGCCACGTTTCCCCAGCTGTGCAACTAAATCGAAGTCGTGTGTGTTTCCGAGTGTGTCACTGTGTGTGTGTGTGTGTGTGTGTGTATGTGAGTGCGACTTGAAATTTATTGTTGTAGATATTGAGTTTAATAGTATAGTGAGCCCAAGTCCAAAGTTTGCCCGGATTTGCGCATTTTTAAGCGGCGAAATCGAAAAACAATTGGCATTCGCCAAATTCGCATGGCTGCCACTCTCAGCCTCAGTGCTTGGTTTTGAAGCGTCTGTGTCAAATGTAGCACTAAAAACCCTAACCCCCCTCCAAACCCCCTCCCCATCTCCCCCCAGCCAACCCTTCCAACACTCAAACCCCTTTTTTCTGTTGTGTTGTCGCTTTTTTATGGGCGAGAGTGTTGCGAAAAGATTTTGTTGTTTTGATATTCGGCAATTTTATTGCCTCGACCCAAGTTCGCACCTCAATTTGTCTTCGTAAATGTGAAAAATGTGGAAATTAGTTGGTGGTCCACAACAGAATCTCACTCCCCGCCCTCCCTCCCTCTCACTCTCTGCTGCCACATTTCATCAATCACACGATGTGTCACACCTATCTGGGGGGCGTTTCGTATTCCAATTCGTATCAGTTGCAGCTACCAACAAACTGTGGCGAATTTCTAAAAAAAAAGAATCAGAAAAGAAAAAAAATCGAGAAAGAAAGGAGTGCGACTCTTGCCACGCCCCTCTGACTTGAGCAGATTCTGCTGTTAATGGCATGCCACACAGTGAAATTTGTGGCAAGCATATTCGCAGGCGTTTAGCCGAAACTCAAACAGAACATTTCACTATTTCAGAATCTTTATCGATGGGCCCAAAAGAAAAAACTTTGTGTCACTTTGGCCACTTTTATGCAAAGTCGCTAGGCAAACACATAACGTAAAAATCAATGGCCAAGTCAATGGATATGGATATGGATGAGGATATGGATGAGGATGTGGATGTGGATGTGGATGAGCCACCCTGTAAATAACGAACAGCTCTATCCTGGACACTGGAAGCTCTCTTTATTAACATAACAATAATTATGGCTACGTTTTGGCTGCCCACTTTCCCAAAATGCTGAGATGTTGCGCAAACAACAAGAATTACAAATGGGATTCTGCAGCCATAAGCAAAACGCGCTCAATCACAATTGACATCCTGGCCAAAAGGGGGAGGAGGATGACAATGGACGGCGGACGAAGGACGACGGTCAGCGACCAACGGTCAGCAGTCGCCATCGACGCTATGCATCCGGTTGAATTGATTTCCACCAACCAAATGGGATTCGATTTTTTCCTTTTCTTTTTCTTTGTTATACCCTGCTCCCAAAGATCAATGCAGAGTTTAATATGTGATCAGAATATTAAAATAAGACTGTAAAATTATTTTTCTCGAGCTGAAGGTCTTTGAAGTCATTGCTCAACATATTTAGTTTGTCTTTAATTTTAATTAGAAGTTAGCTAGTTGCAAATAAATAATACATTTCTCTTTAATTCACTTAAGTTTATATACATTTTTTAGTTTATTATATTTTTTTAAAGATTTTTAATGCGTTGAGCTACAATACTTTTAAGCTACAAAATAAAAAATGTCTACGTAAAATCAAACAGTATTATTTAATAATTAATGAGTAAAGACTTAAGAGTAAAAAGACAAATATTATTAACTAAAATTTCTAAAGAAGCGTTTATTTTTGTACCAAGGGCATATTTAAAATTGGGGTTTTAATTTCTTCTTATCAGAATAATAATTTCCTTAAATGGAAAATAAAAAGTGTATTTTTTGGGCTTGACAATTAAAAAGCAATCATTTGTCATTTTTATTAGTTGATTTTTCACATAACAAATTTTACGTTTAATATGTAGTCAGCTTTTTACAGATGATTATTATTTTTATGGGACAACTCTTTTTTTTCGATTAATTTCGATTAGTTTTTCTCAACTGATAGTTGAAGAACAGAGCATTTTGTAGTCGGCTACTTTTGTTAGCAGTGCTTTCTATCTTTCTTTTTATGTAATGTGTGTTTGCTGACGGGTGTGGCACATGTAAATAGCGCAGAGTAACTGTAACTGTAACTGTAACTGTAACTGTGACTGTAACTGTAATTGTAACTGTGTGAGCCTCTTCCACGTAATTAACTTCAATTGAGTTTTTGGGGGCAAACTGCCAGCGGGCTGTTTTTGGTTTGTTTGCAGCCGGACAAAAGGCGGCCTACAGCTCATTAGGAGCAGCGACAGAGAGAGAGAGAGAGAAAGTGAGAGAGAGAGGGGAGAGAGTTCACATAAATTGCGTTTAAAAGGAGGCAAATTGACAGGCGTGGAGATTTAAGATGACAGTTTAGCTTCGCAAGCAAATCCAATTTCCGAGCGTCACTTTTAAGACTAGCGGCTTCAAGGCTGTGGTTGCACGTACGCGCACAACACTTTCAGCGCCGTCACACACACACACACACACACATACACACACACACGCACACACTGAGGACACTGGAACAGGGGCAGGATCAGGATCAGGTCATGTCGCGGTCATAAATACAACAATGCCCGCTGGCAGCAGCAAAGTTTGAGCTGAGTGTCGCCAGCGCCATAAATTTGAGCGCGCAAAAACTCACGGATTTATGTTGCAAGTACATGCGGCAGGCAGCAGATAGCAAACAGCGAGCGGAATATAGAGCAGTGAGTGGGGGGAAGTGTAGTGAGATATGCTAGGCAAACGTAATCCACTTTAAAGTTTGTCGCCGCTTTCGTTTGTGGCAAAATGAACACGAAACGCGGCCTCGGCTTCCGCCTCGCCAGTCATGTGATGCCAGCAGCTTCACATCCATAGCGGATATCCTTCAGCAACTGCCTCAGATCGGCTTCTCGCCATACACTGCTATCGAAAGTGGTTGGGCATATGGGCTTTGTACATAGTCCATTCAGCTGACAGTTCACCAGTGAAACAAGAAACATGTAAATTTTGAAATATTTACTCTTTAATTTCTGCTTTAGGATTGATCTGCCACGCCTACTAGATACTGGTAAATTGATAGACCTGATAAAACATATTCGTATTCCACAATTGAAAGGGATTTAGACTGCTTATATAATCTCATTCGATCAAACATTCAGCACAAAATTATTTTGATTTTCCGAAATAATTTCTAAATTTATGAAAAAATTCTTTAACTGGGAAAG